TGGACTTTTGAATGATGGCCATTCTGACTCATGTGAGCTGATACCTCATTACAGTTTTGATTTGCATTTCTCTGATAATTAGTGATATTGAGCATTTTTTTCATGTGCCATTTGTATGTCTTCATTGGAGAATTGCTTGTTTAGGTCTTCTGCCCATTTTTGGATTGGGTTGTTTGTTTTTTACTATTAAGTTGTATGAGCTGTTTACATATTAATGTATCTTTCTAAATATTCACTGGGAATTTAACTAGATATTGGTATTGAAAGATGAAACTTATAACTACCAAACTATAATGGCCTTAACCTTAATGATAGGGTAAGGGCAGTATCTTATACTTCATTTTATCTACCACGATGCCAAGCACAGTATTTATTAATAAGAAAGATTGATATTAAACATAGCTGTCATATGTATGATCAGATAGGATCATGAAGGACTGTTTGGTGTTCCTATCATCTTGTTTCAAATTGTAGTTATCATGATCAGAATGGCTAGTTTTCAGTAACACTTCCATCTACACTTTCTGCCTTCCTACTTTACAGGATTAAATAATGATCTTGCATAGTAGGGGAACACAGTAAGTACTCTCTAAATGCTTCTTTTCATCTTTTCTTCAGAAGTGTGAGAAACTCTCTATATGGAGACACCTACTACCATTCATTGGACATGCTTCTCTCTTATCATAAATACTCAGGTACTTCTGCTCTGCCTAGGAAGTCACTGTAAGGTCCAGTGTCCTCATTTGGTCCTTCTAGCTTTGCCAAAGTTGGGATAAGAGTAAGCCTTTTGTTTCAGTGGAATGACAGCTATTAAGGTTGAATGGCCTCTCCTGCTGTCAGCACTAGGTTCTTGACCATTAAAGCCCTATTAAAGTTGTTAACTCTTTTGAAAACATCTTCAGTAATTCGAATTAAGAAAATGAAAAAACAATGAAGTGATCTAAAATTTGTACTAAATGGTTTTCTTCCCTGGCAAAGTACTCAACTTTTAAGATAAGCCAATGGGGGCGATGTAAATTCTTAATTCTCAAATCTCAAAGACTCAAAGGTAAGATTAATTTTCCCATGAGATGATTCATATAGGCTCCTGAGAAATGCAGATCATTTAAAGGTATTCTGCTTCTCTTTATTTCTACCTCCTGAGCCTGTTAAGACCTGTTGTAGGTCTAGGGTGACAGGGTGTGCACACAAGTACCATCTAGACCAGGTTCAGTATAACCATCAGGGTTTTAGGTAGAATAAAGAATTTTTTTCACTTCTATCCAAAAAAGAATCTGAATTTCTTTATCAGTTCTGAAACAACCTAAAACTTCCTAATGGGCTATAGGCATCTTGGGGTAATTGTGGGCCACAGCAAATTACTCTGGGCTCACCAGACCCTCTGAAATCTGAAAGAACGAACCTCCATTTGTTGGCTATTGTCTCCTCATGGCCAGACCTAGGGCTTCAACAATCTTACGGCTTTGTTGAAGATAGCCATCTGGAATTACTCTGTCATTCACTAATAATTTAAAATCATCTACCCTAATTCTCACTGCACTGCCCCAGTAAAAAAAAAAAACAAAACACTAACTTAGAGCAGCTTTATATACAAGGCTTTAGAACTAAGCTAAAAACAAAAAACAACAACCAAAAAAAACTTTTGACATGAATATGTTATATGTAGATGGCAAAATTTCAAAAATATGAATTGTTTCAGGAATATCTTTTCAGAATGAAAACAAAATCAAATCATCCATTTGTCAGTGAATTACTTTCCTCACATAAGCTCATACTCAAATGCAAATGAATAGTAAAGCCAAAATTCTATTTATTTTAAAGGATGCCAAATTTAGGTTAACTTTTTTTTTAATACGCCAAATAAAAATGGTGCCTTGCGAAAAAGGACTGTTAAATAGAGCTGAGTCGGGGCTTAAAAACTGTAATAATAATATAGACTTAAATTTTTAAAATATTCCTCTGCTGCCTTCTTGCTATCTGGCTAAAACACCTCACCCTCCCTTTAAATCATCCTGTGTCTACCAATATTTTTGCTTTTTGTTAGATCGTAAGCCAGTAACTTTTCAGAAGTGGAGTACAGGTCACTAAATTGGATTCTTCTTTAGCACTCATCTTCTGACACATTCCACTAAATTAGAGATTTATTTATATTGATAAATACTCTTTTTGAAAACAAATACATCTTGGAAAGGATAATTCTACACTATCTTTCAACTAAACCTTAAGGAAGTGGAGAGGGGGAAGAATAGGAGAGAAGAAGTGAAAAAGAAGAGAGTATTTGAGAAATAAAGACATCTAGGATTATCAGAAGAGGATGAATGAACCATGCCTTAAGAGAGAGAGGGTAGGACACCAGCCAGAAAGTCTTAGACCTAAGTAAATAAAATGGGAACAAAAAGCCTTCACGAGAGACACTGGAGATCACGTACAACCAGGCAATAAAAGCCATGCATGTTACATCAGTGCCACAGTCAAATACTAGATAAAACAACTAACATGGCATATCAAAGTAATACTATGGGTGATAAGGTTATCACCAAATCATAATTGATATGCAGAACGCATTAAACAAAGTTTACTCAAAGATTTATAAAGTTCCATTCCAAATAGTTTACTAAAGAGTCTCTTTACTATAGTGTTAAAGGTTTTTGCAAGATTTCCATTGAGAGTCTCCCAAAAACCACATTCAGGTGGGTGAAATAATTATAAAAGCCACATACTTATCAGTATTTAAAACATACGTCCCAAAATACTCTCTGTGCTGTAAAGGTCAATATAAGGTTTTATTTTTAGAATCCTCAAAGCTGTCATTTCTTAGTCTTTTTGCCATGTTTAAACTAGCCAGATACTTCCTTTAATATACCAGGAATGTAAGGTAGGAAAGAGTCTTTGCAATAAAAGATTTTTCGGCCAAACTGCTTTGCCACAAACTAGCAAAACGTTTTTGACTTGACCACTGAACGTTGCTCCAGTTTTATCCTTCACTCAATAGTAAAACCATCATCTACTATACATACATCAAATGCTAGACACTGAGGATATAAAACTGAACAAAACACAGTCCCTGCCTTTAAGGTAGTCATAATCATTTGGCAGAAAGAGACATATGAAGAGATAAGTATACTACTACCTGATTAAGTTTTACAATCAGAGATATGAACAGAGCATTGTGCAAAAAAGTGGTAAAAGCCACTAAGTCAGCTTGAGGACTATGCTAAACCTGTTCAAGAGGACTTGACATTTAAACTCATCTGTAATGAGGCAGTTAAGTTCGTCAATCTGTAAGGTCCCTTCTATTTAAGACAGGGCAGGACAAAAAGTTGAAGGTCATGGAGATCTTGTTTGTCAAAAATGGTTATTCTATCAGCTGTTCTACCTCTGGGTTTTTATCTGAAGAACATGAAAACACTAATTTGAAAAGATATACGTACGCTTATAATTCATGGCAGCATTAGCTACAACAGCAAAGATATGGAAATAACCTAAGTGTGTATTGATGGATGAATGGATAACAATGATGTAATACATACATACTGGAATACTACTCAGTCATAAAAAGGATGAAATTCTGTCATTTATGACAACATGAATGGACCCTGAAAGTATTATGCTAAGTGAAATAAGCCAGACAGAGAAAGACAAATACATATGATTTCACTTACATATGGAATCTAAAAAACCAACACAAACAAAATAAAATGAAAACAAACTCACAGATACAGAGAATAGTAGTAGTTACCAGAGGGAAAGGAGATTGTGGGGCAGGGTGAAATGGATGAAGGGGGTCAACTGTATGGTGATCACTTTACAGTGTATACAGATGTCAAATTACAGTGCTGTACACCTGAAATTTATATTATTTAAAAAAATGGTTGGTGTAGACAATTTCAGTTTGTTGGTTATTAAGTTAACCTCTGTATCAAAAACAGAATATTTTACTCATACAAGCCTCATCTTCTCTCCCAAATTTATCCTCTTCCCATATTGCTTTTCTTGGTAAATGGTAGTACCACCTAAAACTTAACTTTCCATAGCCAACTCATCACCAATTTCTATTGATTCTATTCCATACTACTACTTTATTCTATCTACTTCTATCTCCACTGGTTACTATCATCTCTTACCCTGGAGGCTTCCAATGGCCTCCAAAAGAGCTTTCTTTTCTCTGAAATCCCTTCTGCCAATCAACCAGTTCTTCACACTGTAGCCAAAGTTATCTTTCCAAAACACAAATCTGATCCTATGACAACCCACCTTAAAATCATTCAACTGCTCCTTACTGTTCTCGGAAAGTGTTCAAACTCTTCAGCATAATTGTTAACATCTGGCCTGGCTTGCCTCATGCTACAATCTTTCATACTCATATTGAACCTCTGGCAGTTCCCTCAATAAACAGTGCTCACTATCCTCTGGAAAGCCTTCCAGGATTCCCTCAAGAGAGAATCAGGTGACCCTCCAAAATGATCTTTCAGCACCCTCCGTGTCTCCATCACCATACTTAGCACACTACACAGTATTTTAATTACCTGTCTGTCTCCCCCAGAAGCTATAAATTCCTATCCTACACATTCTTGTATTTCCTATGAAAGCATTAAGCCTGCTTGGCACTGACATATAGCTGGTGCTACATAAATGTCTGTTGAATGCATGAATAAAAGAATGAATGAACAAACTGCAAAGAAAGAGAAATTCAATGTCCTACAATTTGTCACAATACTTATTAGCTACATTACAGAAACCTAATCCTTGAGCAAGACCGTATTTTAAGTCATCAGCTATCACAATTAACCTGTTTTTAGAGACAGAAATAAAAGAAGGCTCAACATAAACTCAAAACTCAAATGCACTTAAAATGTATTTATGTCTTCCAGTTTAGAGAGCATAAGCATATGTAAAAAATAAAGTTATAACTACATACGCTCTATTATATTATTTTCACAGTTCAATAGTTGAGTTTTCTTTTTAACGTATACGAAAGCTGCACCTCATCACTGACTCACCGATTCTTTTCCAGCTCATTGTGTGTAGACCTAAAAGGAGGAGGGGAAGAAAAAAAAAGAGCATTAGCCATGTTTTGTTGCTAAGGCTATAGAAAGCAGAAATAGTTTAGGTACTGCTATACTAAACCCAGTGAATTTATTTAACAATGCAATATACAGTCTGACTTCTATAATCTCATTCATCAAGAAGAAATAGTCTACATTCATTAAGACTGCTCATTTACATACAGTGTTTTCAGTTAACTATTTAATATTTTGAAATTGAGATTTCATTGTTATTTTTAATAAAATTAATACTAGTACGTATTAGTAGTCTTGCCTACTTCTAGTATCCTACATTTTATTGATTTGTTGACATCATATCAAAAATTTTAATTCAAACATAATCCCATTTTTTGTTTAAAAAGAAAAAGAAGGGTGTATACACTTCTGTGTCCTCTTCCATCTGCACTTACCCAGTTCTCAACATAGGGAGAAAAAAGTTTTGGCCAGCATAGATGCTGAAACAGGCTTGCTTTATTATTGCTAAGTGGTACAGAAAATTCAAGCCTTACTGCCTTGTGTGTGAAACATAAACCAAAAAAAAGTTATACAAGGAAAAAATAACATACACAGAAGAAGATATATGAATAAAATAAAAAAACACATTTTTAAAAGACTGGAAGGATACACCTCTAAATGTCAACAAAAGTTGTTCTTTTTGTGACTTTTTTTTGTTTTGCTTATCAGTATTTGTTATAATACCATCTATTGAACAAGCTGAGTGCCTGCTAAAGGTCAACATACATTACCTCATCTTATCCCCCAAACAACCCTTGTTTTATAAATAAGAATACTGAGGCTTAGAGAGGTCAAAAGGCATGCTCTTCTCCCAAGAACATAAGTTGCAGCAATGATTTAAGCCCAGGTTTTTCTTATTCCAAATCCCAAATTCTTAACCACTTGGTGACAAGCAATACTGAAGAGAGGTTAAAGTTACAAACTTTAAAGCCAGACAGCCTGGGCTCAAATATTGTGTGGTCTTTTAAAATTCCCTTCATTTCTCTGTGCTCAGTTTCTTCATCTATGAAATAGGAAAAATAATAACATTACTTGCCTCATATGATTGTTATGAGGAATAAACAAGTTTACACTGAACAGCAAAATAGAACAAACTCTAAAGTTAGCTACTATTTAGACATGTGTTATACTAAGTTCTCTTGAATAAACATGTTATTTCTACAACAGTTTAGCATTAGCAATCATGGAATTTTACACAGGAAAATTTAAGTTCCTGTCATCAGAACTAAAATTTTAATCATTTAATATATTCTGGTTAATGTAAAATGCTTTCAGAATATTACATTACTGATTACCTTATCTTATTTACCATTCCAATGGATATTTAATTATCAAATTTCTAAACTTTAACAATAATATTTTTGTCAGTGTCATAATTTGTGGAAATTTTACCCACTCTCTTATTTCAAGAGCCAAAAGGCTTCTTTGAGTTACTGTCACCTGTCTACCTTAGCAGTTTCATAAGATCCATGTGACACAGGATAAAAAGACTGATGTTCATTTTCAAGAAATTATCTTAATAAGAGAGTCTCTTTCAAAGGAGGTTTAAGGAAAAAAGCTTACAACGCTTTAAGAATTCAGCCAAATTAATGGCAAGGATTTGAATGCCTCAGATGGAAGAAACTATAAAAACACAGGACTTTTAGTCTAATGGAGATTCAGAGTTCAAAACTCAGTAAGTAAATTATAACCAAGTATCTTTCACCATATAAGTACTTACAAAAAGGCTTAAGTTCTTTTTTGTTTGACTAAAATGTCAAAGTAAATAAAAAAGTCAGAAGAGGGAAAAGCATATTTTGAAGAGATTTAAAGCAAAAAATACTGCTCCAAATTTGAATGGGTAATGAATAATAAACTTCCCCACCCACTCTTAGTAAGTTTTGGTTTAACTGCCTTCATCTAAGTAGAAAACTCAGAACAAGTGAAAAAATAATAATGTAAACAAGTTCATTCTGTATAGCACAGGGAACTATATTCAATATCTTGCAGTAACAAGGTGAAAAGACTATGAAAACAAATATATGTATGTTCATGTATGATTGAAGAATTATGCTGTACACCAGAAATAGACACAACATTGTAAACTGACTATACTTCAATTAAAAATACATTTAAAAAATAAATAATGAAATACTAGAGTAAGTAATAGATGGAAATAACCTGTTTAGAGAGAAGGAGACTATTTGCCATACACTCACTCTAAACAGTCTGGCATCCTATATACGGCATTAAATGCAAAAGATATATAGCTAAAGATAAAAGCCAAACTGTTGAATTCCAGTATTATATTATCAAAGTTAGCACCAAAAGAACATAATCTGAACCACTGCTGTGATCAACATTAAAACAGCAGGTTCTTCCCACCTCTCTCAGATTTTTCTTTATTTACCTTCTTTCTAAAAAAAATACAAAATGATAGGAAAGAATATGAAATTTTCCACCAAACCAGAAAATGCATGCCATATATAGTTACACCACTAGTAAAATTTTAACAAGATTTACAAATACCAAGAAACAAAAATGATTATGTATGTACTAATCTTTATCATATTGCCATATTCTTCCAATTAAAAAAAATTCATTGGTAGTGTTTACTCCTATTTTGATGACTTTTTTGCCTGTAATATTAAGTCAACAAATACTGGGTATCTTCAGCGTTCAAGACTGTCTTAGACTGCAAGGAGTCAAAGTCAGTCTGGTAAATTAAGATATATATGAAAGTAATTATAAATCAAAGCAAAGTAAATATGCAAAGGTACAAAGTGTTGTGGGAGTTCAATGGAGGCAGAGTTTACTTACAAATGGGACTATCAGAAAATGAGTCTTTAGAAAAGAGGGCATTAGGTCTGGGGCTTACATGATGAGTACACTTGCTACTACCAGAGACTAGACCTGGGAGGGAGAGGACATTCCAAGTGGAAAAGATAGCATAGGCAAACAAGCAGAGCTGTGAAGTCCAAAGCAAAACTATAGAACAACAATGGAAAAAAAGCCCTGCGTTTAAATATTAGCCCTGTCACATTAGCTGTGTAACTTTGGACAAATTATTTAACCTTTTTAATTAACAGTTTTCTCATTTGTAAAATCGGAATAATACTGCATGCCTTGGCTAGGTTACTGTGATAATTAGAGAATAATGCAAAAGCATTAGCACACACTAAGTATTCAGTAAACGTTAGCCATCAAAAATATTCTTACTATTTTTAACAAGGCTAAAAATATAGTACCCAAAACAATGTTAAATATATTACATGGGGCAACAAATTGAGAGGTTCTCAATAATACTTGGAACTAACCTGGAAACAAACAACCATAATGATTAAAACAGAGGAAGAGATAGGTGTTTTGATCATTTAATCAGCTGTAAGGATGTATAAATTTTAAGGTATGACACAGAGAAAGACGCTTAACTGTGCACAAAGAAAATAATGATCCAAATAGTTCTGGCCAATAGAGTAACTGAATGCATCACATCCTAGCACATTCAGAAACTATCTCTTTGTTTCTCTGAGCCTATGTGTCCAACCAAGCGCTTCCAATAATATGCCATTGAAATATTCCATTATGATAAATTCACTATCAGGTTGAGATGTTCTGAATAATTCATCTGGTCAGCATACTTTTCTTCTCCAAACAAAAATGTACCATCAGCAAACACTAATGAATGTCTTCCTTTCACACACCCTTATTCTGAATGTTTAACAACTTACAAGGACAGAGATAAAGACATTCTATCATTTTATCATCAAGTCACAGGTAATCTTTTTCACAAACAACAAACCTTTAAAAGACAAGCTAACACATTCCCTATTTGAATGCAAGTCATTATCTCAACCAGATCTGTGGCTTTTTATTGACTACAGCACTGCTCTAATATATAAACTTTTAATTCTTTAGGGTGCAGTTTGGTGGCACTCAATGAAATGAAGCATAGAATTGAAACTACACAAAATGGTAACATTTGGCTCAAGAGTAATGCCACCAAGGAAGTAAAATAAAAGCTCCCATTCCCACAATTAATATTCTCTTTCAACAAAAGAAAAGATCTCTGTCTTTGTTGAATTAATAAGCCAACCCCTAATTTGTTAACATTTTCGTTTCACTTCCTAATCCTAAAGTGCCTAATGGATGTTGTCTTCCACACAATGAAAAGAACACATCCTATGAAGCTAAATGAATATTTCCTAACTACATCCTAAAGCTTATACTTCATATACACACACTCAAAGGGCAAGAAAAAGAGCTTCAGCTACATTAGAGCAGGGGTCTCCAAAGTATATACCTGAAGGGGGTTGAAATAGAATTAGAATAGTAAAACTTCTATTTATGTTTATTCTTCTTCTTAAACTTTATTCTGTGTTTATAAAACATTAGTACAGTAATACATGCATACAATTATAAATACATTCACATATATTAGGGATATAGAATTTTTTTGCTGCTAGTGGTATATGATAAAGTGGTCAATAAAGTTTGAAGAACACTGTAATAGAAGAAAATCATGCTCTTTGCCAATAAAGGAATTCTTTCAAAGAGACAGTTCTGTACATTTGTTTCTATCAAAAGCATGTATTTTTAAAAAACCATTAAAGATGATAAAACTTGAATAGTGCAGATTTTTAGGAAAAATGTCTCATAAAAAATGTATGGCTTCTTCTGTAACAATGACAAAAGCAACCACCCAATAACTAAGACCACAAAAAAGCAAGTATCTAAAAAGGATGCATAATAATAACTATAATCAGTAATTTTTTCTTAAAACTTACATATCAAAGCTGAATATATGCATACCTTATGACTCAGCATTTCCACTCGTAGGCATACCTTGAACATATATATGTTCACTAAAGGACATACTAAAGAATAATCATTCTTTTCATACTAGCCAAAAACTGGAAAGTGTCCATCAATAGTAGAACAGATGAATAAATTGTGGACTATTCATACAATATAATACTACAGAGCACTAA